TAGCCTCTTTTTAATGTTCTTCCATTTTCTTGGAATCAGACGCATCTGTGAGCTTTGTTCTCTTTCAGGTAGGACCAATCTACTTGGGACATTGGAATGCATGTAGTGCATAGTACTATGCATCTATGGCTGTTGCATATATGTTTAAAAACATTATTTTATGAAGTATCGTTTTGAATTTTGCTGTGTAACTTGTGAAATTCTTGCTCTCTCAACTAAGTAGAAACTACTTGAATTCCTTTTCACTGAAATTAGAAAGCAGATCTCATGGATAGAATATTTTTTACGTTGGTTATTCTGAATCTAAATATGTCAGTTTTGAGGGATGGTGCTTGGTCTGTAATGTCTTGTAAGTTTTTAGTTAATTTCTAAAGTTTACTTTGAGAGAGAGCAAGCTTGGAGGGGCAGGGGGAGGAAGAGAGGGAGAGAGAGAGAGAGAGAGGCGAGAGAGAGAATATATCCCAAGCAGGCTCCACATGGCTTCAACTCATGAACCGTGAGAACCTAAGCCGAAATCTAGAGTCAGATGCTTAACCAACTGAGCCACCCAGGTGCTCTTTAAGTTTTTAATTTAAATTCTGGTTAGTTAAGGTACAGTGTAATATTAATTTCAGGTGTACAATTTAGTGACCAAACACTTTACATAAACACCTGGTGCTCATCACACCATGTGCATTCTTTAATCCCCATCACCTGTTTGACTCATCTTCCCACCCTCATCCCTTCTGGTAACCATCAATTCTCTATGGTTAAGAGTCTGTTTCTTGGTTTGCCCCCCCCCCCCTCCTCCTCTCCTCTCTCCCCCATTTTACTTATTTGTTTTGCTTAAGTTTCACATAGGAATGAAATAATGTGGTATTTCTCTTTCTCTGACAGACTTATTTCACTTAGCATTAATACTCTGCAGCTCCATCCATGTCATTGCAAATGACAAGATTTCATTCTTTTTTATGGCTAAGTGATAGGCCATTATTTATATATACCACATCTTCTTTATCCATTCCTTAGTTGTTGGACACTTGGGCCTTTTCCATAATTTGGCAATTGTAAATAATGCTGCTATAAATGTTGGGGTACATGTACCCCTTTGAATTAGTATTTTTGTATTCTTTGTATAAATACCTAGTAATGCAATTGCTGGATTGTAGGGTGGTTCTGTTTTTTTTTTAATTTTTATTTTTAACGTTTATTCATTTTTTGAGAGACAGAGAGAGACTGAGCATGAGCAGGAGAGGGGCAGAGAGAGAGAGGGAGTCACAGAATCTGAAGCAGGCTCCAAGCTCTGAACTGTCAGCACAGAGCCTGATGTGGGGCTCGAACTCACTCGTGAGCAGTGAGATCATGACCTGAGCTGAAGTCGGATGCCCAACCAACTGAGTCACCCAGGTACCCCTGGGTGGTTTTATTTTTAACCTTTTGAAGAACCTCCATACTGTTTTCCAGAGTATGGAAACTGGCTGCACCAGTTTGCATTCCCACCAGCAGTGCAAAAGAGATCCTTTCTCTCCGCATCCTCGCCAACATCTGTTGTTGCCTGAGTTGTTAATGTTAGCCATTCTCACAGGTGTGAGGTGGTATCTCATTGTGGTTTTGATTTGTATTTCCGTGATGATCAGTGAAGTTGAGCATCATTTCGTGTGTCTGTTGGTCATCTGGATGTCTTCTTTGGAAAAATGTCTATTCATGTTTTCTGCCCATTTTTAATTGGATTATTTGTTTTTTGGGTATTGAGTTTATAAGTTCTTTATAGATTTTGGATACTGACTCTTTATCCACATTTGTCATTTGCAAACATCTTCTCCCATTCCGTAGGTTGCCTTTTAGTCTCATTGTTTCTTTCACTGTGCAGAAACTTTTTATTTTCATGTAGTACCAGTACTTTGTTTTTCTTTCCCTTGCCTCAGGAGACATATCTGGTAAGAAGTTGCTGTAGCCAGTGTCAAAGGCCAGTGCTATGGCTTGTGTTCTCCTCTAGGATTTTAATGGATTCCTATCTCACATTTAGGTCTTTCATCCATTTTGAATTTATTTTTGTGTAAGGTGTAAGAAAGTGGTCCAGTTTCATTTTTGCTACATTCAGTAGTTTTCAACCTTGATGCACATTAGAATCATTACAGCCTCCTTAAGGTAAATCTGTGCCTAGGTGCCACTATAGATTAAAGAAAAGTCTTTGGGAGTGGAATTCAGACATAGGGAGCTTTAGAAAAAGTTCACAGCTGATTCTAATGTGCAGCCAAAGTTGAGTACCACTGTTCTAATTTAGTGTTTTTTTTTCCTTTCTTTATTTTGGGGCAAGCAGAGAAAGCCCATAATAGTGCATAATGAAGTAATTTACTCAGCCATGTCTTTATTATTGGACATTCACTTTATTTTCAGTTTGTTTTTTATTCTGTTTTAACTAACAATGTGCAGTAAACAGCCAACCTAATTTTCTGAAATTGAAATATCGCTATATGTATCTACTCTTTGATAGCCACTAGATGGAGATAAGTGTTTATTTTTGGTTTTAATATTTGTTAACCAATAGTTTATAAAGATCCAGCTACAGTGATATAAATGTGACATTTAAGTCATAGTTTTTTCATGTGTTGCTAGTTAAAAGTACAAAAAGTTCTTTTTCTTGGAACTTTTGGTTTTAGGAATTTGACATTTTTCTCCAAGGTAAATTTAGTCTCACCATATGATCCAGCCATCATGCTGTTAGGTTATTTACCCAATTGATGTAAAAACATAGATCTACACAAAAATCTGCACGAGTGTTTATAGAAGCTTTATTTGTAATTGCTCAAAACTGGAAGTAGCCAAGATGTTTTTCAGTAGATGAATGGATGAACAAACTGGTACATCCATACATTGGAGAACTATTCAGCAATAAAAAGGAATAAACTGTTATGCCATACAAAGACATGGATGAATCTTAAATTCATATTGCTTAGTGCAAATAGTCAGTCTGAAAAGGCTATATACTGTATGTTTCCAATTATATGGCATTTTGGAAAGACCAAAACTATAGAGATGGTGAACAAATCATTGGTGACCAGGGTTGGGGAAGGGACTTAAGTAAGTGAAACACAAAGTATTTTTTAGAGCAGTGAAATTATTCTGTATAAGACTGTATGGTTGGATACATAACTATGCATTTTGTCAAAAGCCGTAGAATTTTACAACAGAAAGAGTGAATTTTAATGTATGCAAATTTAAAAAGTCACTTAAGAGGTTGAAGGTCCCAGAATGGACTTCAGAATGTGGCAAGAGGCTCTAACTGTATTTTAAATACACAAAACAGCCTCATTTAGGGGAAGGGGAGAAAAGAGGCTAAGTAACTTTGGAAATTAGTGAAGTCTAGAATACTGAAGATAAAAGGAACTATACATCGACACTGAGGTTGATAACATGCCTTCTGTGGAAGTATGGGTTAACTATTCTGCAACTGCTATCCTAATATACTGAGATTGAATAATTAGGTAAATAGATGGTGGCCTGATTGGAGCTGGATTTCTCACTACTGGAGTGGTAGGTTATAGATAGATAAGAGAAGGCTAAAATGATCCATGTAGTAATAGATTAGAGTTGGAGACTGAAAGTGCCCCCAGTGGCCAAGTTGGCACAGTTTATGCAAGGAAATAAAGTAGTGTTGGATTATAACCCTGAGTACAAAATAAATATCCATGAATTCATACTTATATAAATAAATGATTGAATGAAGACGAATAGACAAATTTCCCATGCAGAGGAATTCCAAACCATTTATGTAGATAACTCAACCTTCAAGCAGGTAGAACAACTCTCTACTCCTTAAGTGTAGGCTGTGCTTAGTGACTTCTTTCCAAAAAGTACAGTGTGGAATGGGGGGAAAGTAATGTTACAGTAGAGAAAGTTGGCAAGCACTACCTTAACTAGATGTTCCAGGTAAATATTGATAGTGATGTCATGTTGATAATATGACATTGGTATGATGTGATGAGAATGGTACTTTACCTCAGTGGTCTTGTTCTTAAAACCCATAACCTAGGACTAATCCTGAGAAAAGCATTATCCAAGTTACAGTTGAGGAACATAGACATTAGGGTGCATGTATCCCTTTAAATTTGTATTTTTGTATTCTTTGGGTAAATATCTTATAGTGCAATTGCTGGATCATAGGGTAGTTCTATTTTTAGTTTTAAGGAAGCTCCATACTGCTGACCAGTTTGCATTCCCACTAACAGTGCAAGAGGGTTCCCCTTTCTCCACATCCTTGCCACGTGTTTCTTGTGTTGTTAATTTTATCCATTCTGACAGGTGTGAGGTGGTACCTCATCATGGTTTGGTTTGTATTTCCCTGAGAATGAGTGATGTTGAGCATCTTTTCATGTGTCTGTTAGCCATATGGATGTCTTCTTTGGAAAAGTATCTATTCATGTCTTCTGCACATTTCTTCACTGGGTTATTTGTTTTTTGGGTGTTGAGTTTGGTAAGTTCTTTATAGATTTTTGGATACTGACCAAATACTTTCAGCTAATGTGATTTGCAAATATCCCCTCCCATTTTGTAGGTTGCCTTTTAGTTTTTTTGATTGTTTACTTTGCTGTGCAGAAATTTTTTTATCTTGATGAAGTCCCAGTAGTTCATGTTTACATTTGTTTCCCTTGACTTCAGTGATGTTTCTAGTAAGAAGTTGTTCCAGCTGAGGTCAGAGAGGTTGCTGCCTATGTTCTTCTCTAGGATTTTGATGATTTCCTGTCTCACATTTAGGTCTTTCATCTATTTTGAGTTTATTTTTGTGTATGGTGTAAGAAAGTGGTTCAGTTTCATTCTTTTGCATGCTGCCATCCAGTTTTCCCAGCACCATTTGTTGAAGAGACTTTTTTTGCCATTGGATATTCTTTCCTTTATCAAAGATTAGTTGACCATATAGTTGTGGGTCACAGAATTTTTTGAACTTAATTTTTTTCCCTGTATTTTCATTGAAGAAAGATTTTTCTCCTCAGAAATTAAGACCTGCACCTTTTTCCCCCCAGATTCTCCTGAGAACGATATTCCTATGGAGATCGCAACAGCAGAGCCACAAGTTTCTGAGGCAGTATATGATTGTGTTATTTGTGGACAAAGTGGCCCCTCCTCTGAAGACCGACCTACAGGATTGGTTGTACTATTACAAGCATCCTCAGGTAAAATCAAAGTAATTTTTCGGTGGGAACATTTTACAGCCAAAGTATATACAACAGGTTAATAAATACCTGTATTAATAAATTAATATCTTTGGATATACTATAGATCTATATAGCAAGGATCAATTTAGATCTGTATAGCAAAGATTTTTAACATGGCTTTATCTGACTTTCCTGGACACGAGTGTTAGAAGAAGCCCTTAACAGAGAAGTCTTTCTATATGTTACACGGTCTTTTTCCTTGAAGTGTGATGGTATATTATCAATGGTAGGTGGCCAATAACTGAGTTTAGCTTTCTTGACAGTTTAATTGTTTTAAAATTGGAAAGCAGTTTAAGCCCAGAAATACTGTCAGTTTAAATATTTTAATTACATAAGGCACATTCAGGTAGGTTTGCCTTTATTTTTTGAACTACTGGAAGCAGTCATTCTTTTTTTTAAAATTTTTTAGTTTATTTTTTGAGAGAGCAGGGGAGGGATAGAGAGAGAGAGAATGAGAGAGAATCACAAGCAGGCTCCACACTGTCAGCGCAGAGCCTAATGTGAGGCTCGAGCTCATGAACCATGAGATCATGACCGAAATGAAGAGTTGGAAGCTTAACCAACTGAACCAGCCAGGTGCCCCTATAAGCAGTCATTCTTGAAACAGCCTGCTGAATGATATGTTTGCCAATGTATAGTTAAAAAAATTTTCTTTGAAAAATTTTTGAAGAATTTGTCTGAATGCCCTTCATCCTCTCCCATACTGAAGTATTTTAAGGTGTGATAGCTCTTACACACTTTTGTCCCAATGAATTCAATCCATTTTCAGCAGGAGTTTGTGTGAAGCAAAGAGAAAATAAAATTCTTTTTTTTTTTTTTTATTTTTTTATTTTTCAACGTTTATTTATTTTTGGGACAGAGAGAGACAGAGCATGAATGGGGGAGGGGCAGAGAGAGAGGGAGACACAGAATCAGAAACAGGCTCCAGGCTCTGAGCCATCAGCCCAGAGCCCAACGCAGGGCTCGGACTCCCGGACTGCGAGATCGTGACCTGGCTGAAGTCCGACGCTTAACCGACTGCGCCACCCAGGCGCCCCAAAATTCTTACACATTTCTCCCAAGCCTTTTTTTTCTAGGGTGTTTATTCTCTGAATTAGTATAGTAAAGTGGAAAGAGAAATGGCTTCAAATACAGGTATTGCTTGACATAATCTGGTCAAGTTTGTTGCTTTCTTTTAACTATAGAGATAATATTGACCTCCGAGGATTATTGTACTTGTTAAGTAACGTAATATAGGCAAAAGGATCTAATATGATGTCTAGTAATTAGTTTCTCCTCTTGTGACTTTTCTTGCTTAAAAATAAAATTGATTTGGGAAACCCCAGTTGAATAGAACATTGGAGTAGAGCTGTCAAGATCAGAAATGCTGACTAAAAAGGAAATGTGTGGGAGTATTAACTAGTTTTGTAGCTATATCTGTTTTCTACTGTTGTGAGGAAAGTAGCATATTAGATTTTTCACTTTTTATAACTTCTTCTCCAAATACTTTATAATCATCAATGTAATGTTTTGTTTATTCCTTCATTCATTCATTCCACATATATTTATTGAGAACCTAGGTACAAGATACTGTCACAATAAGAAACAAGGCAAAACAAAATCTCTGTCCTATGCAGAGTTTTGGTTTTTGTTGTTTTAATCTTTTTTATTATTTTATATTTAGGTTACTTTCACCAGATTGTCACTTCATTTAATCCTTTTTACAATTTTGCATACTAGCTAAACTTATTAATGTTAGATAATTCTATAACATAGCTCTTTTATCTTTTATAGATAGAAGGAAGTGAATAAAAACTAACATTAAATAAAAAACGTTGAAAAAAAA